GACAGGATTTTCAATAAAAATCTTTTCATTTTAATACCACTTCCATCGTTACATTTCATTCGAATTAATTATATTAACGAAATGATCTATTTCAAGTATCAATATTATTGTCTTTAAAAAATTACCATTCGATACAACGAAATTCATTCGTAAATACGTCCATTAACATAGATCATTAATTATTTAAAGTACATTGTATTACTAAATTTTTTTTCAAATGAACATGAACGATAAATTTCACGTATCACTTTGGATTCATCGAATTCAATATAAGAAAGATATATATATATATATAACAAAAAAATGTGCACTCTCTCTATCTCTCTCTCTCGAAATTGGTAAAGAATCAGCAATATTAAAAGTTTCACTTTTCGTTTCTCTTGAACACACATTTTCTATCTACCGATATGAAACCGTTCGATTTGTAAAGGAGAAAAAATTGTTTCGAATATCTCGCCCGAAGCTACGTAACACGATATATTGTAGGATGTACATTTGGTCCATTCGAAACGAACGTGAAATTCGGTGTTTTGCGAAACGTCCTTGAAATAGCGGCAGAGGCTGCGGAAAAGAAAAAAAATAGAAAAAAAAAAAAAAAAAAAAAAGAAGAAGAAAATAAAAGAAAAACTCAGCCTAAATACAAACGAACGAATAGAACGAAGTTTTAGGAAAACGAGTGGAGGATGTTATTTGAGGAAAAAGGTAGGAATTTGAACGTTATCCATGGAAACTCTTGAGCGTGATACTGCGACGCCGTAAAAGTAAATATTGCAGAGTTCCGTGAGCTTTTTATTATATAAATGTCCTCCCATGGTCGTTAAACTTCCTCATTTCCTACGGAGTGTAGCGTCGAGTGAGTAACTTTCAGTCGACGCTTGTCTTAAATAGTATATCTCGTTCGTCGACCTTCACCGTCTTTCTCGCTCTCACTTAATCCTTCGCTTCCCCCTCCCCCTTTCCCTCGCCCCCTATCCCCCATAAAGTCTCTACATTCATCAGTGTTCTTCTTCTTCTTCAAGACTTTTTTTATCTTTCCTTCTTTCTTCCTTTCTTTCTTTTCTATATTTTTCTTTTTTCTTCCCCCCTTTTTTTTTTTTTTTACTTTCGCATTTAAGAAGAGAGACAAAACCAATGGATCCTAGGAGATAAATCGTTCATGCTCGATGTTTCATGAAAATTGTTATTGAGAAAAGAAAAAGGAAAAAGAGGAAGGAAGGAGGAAGGAAAAAAAAAAAAAGAAAAAAAGGAAAGGAAACCGAATGATTTAATTTATTTATAAATTGTCGATGTTCCTATCATCCATCCCTTCTTTCATTTCTCTTTTCCCGTTGAAATTCTTCTTTCTCTTTTACCAAAGTAACTAAGGCACTTTTCTTAGCCCGCAGCGTAATTTCGTCTTCATTCGAGGGATAGAACCTTAATTAACTTTCTTTTTTTCTTTCTTTTTCTTTTTTTTCCCTCAATGCGAACACAGACGTCTTTGACTCCCACGGTTGACCGCATTTCATGCTCGACATACAACCGTTGCGTAAATTTATCGTAATTCATGGAAGAGAGGGTGAATTACGTAACGACCCTGCAACGTAATGGCTTTCTCCTTTCTCCGATGACTTAAATTGTAATTAACTTTGACGTATTGCGGGAAAGAGAGGAGACGGAACGGGAAGAGAAAAGGGGAGGGGGGGGAGGTGAGGTGGGGTAGAGAGGAGAGAGGTGGATGTAGTTGGAGAAGGCAATAGCGAGAAATACGTTCTAGATTGAATTTCAATTTCCTTCCTTAGGAAAAAAAAACAAAACAAAAAAAAAAAAGAAAGGAAAAATAAATCGTGAGCAAGTAAACGTATTGAAAAACGTATTGAATTCTAGCAAAAGTCACAAAAAGAAAATTTCATTCTCACCGTACAAATCGTTAATTTAACGAAGATCATTAATTATTCGTTAACTTAAATAGAAAGAAGAGTTTACCACTCGTGGTATTACGAAAGGTATGAGTAATAATCTTGAAGGAACGTTTAAAATGAACAAAGTGAGACAACTTTAACCGGGCTAAATCTTTCACGAAGAAGACATAAGTAGTACTGGTTCCGTTTATTCTTGAGAAAGAAACGAACATCGGCTTGTGTCTTATAAATTCGTGGCACTCGAAAAGTCGACAAGGACGACGACGACTACGAAGACGATTACAACGACGAAGACGACGACGACGACGACGTTTGACCTTTCACTCGAATACAGACACTACCTTTAACTTGTGCAAAATTCAAAGTGGTACATAGTAAAGGTGGAAAGTAACGTTTGGAGCGGGCTCTTTTGACGATTGCACGTACCTAAGTAAACATAGAACGTACAACATAGAAATATCTATATGTGTTGGAAGTTCTACTACGTAAACAGAAAGTAACATATGTCACGTATTTCGTGAGAGTGACACGTATCGAGAGTAAGTATAGGTAAACTTGTAGATAGTAGGATATGTGTGATATATGTATATATATATATATATATATATATATATATATGTATGTATGTATATAGAAACACGTGTCCAAGCTAGAGACACGTCCAAGTAGAACGGGATGGATATGAAACGTAGGTACATACATATACATACATACATACATACATACATACATACATACATACATACATACATAGATGTTTTCGGTTGAGAATCGAGATTACTCTTGACAGAAGGAGGATGCTGGATGTCTCAGAGAACGTACGAAAGCGGAAACGTTGTTCCATTGTTGCGTTACTCGATTCCAATCTCTCCTCTCTTCCCTAGCTAGTCACTATCCCGAATACACGTTATACTACAAAAGATATATCTGGGCATGCGCGAGCACGTAATCATATCCATTTTGCTTCGAGGAATACGGCGTATCCGGTCGGAAGAGTTTTCTCCAAGAAGGCGCAGAGGGAGGAGGAGGAAGAGGAGGAGGAGGAGAAGGAGGAGTTGGAGGTGAAGTAGGAAGGAGTAGAAAGGAAGACAGGAGAGAGAAAGAGAGAGAGAAAGACATAAAGAGAGAAAGAGAGAGAGAGAGAGAGCTGACGCGGCAGAGATATCCTCAGCATGAATCTGAAAAGGTATGGGCTGCGTTCACGCGACGATGATTTACGGGCGTATTAGGTCGATAAGATATCTTCCGGTTCGTTGACCCGGCGGAAGCTCTATTTTTAAGGCGTCTCGCGACCCCCTTTTGCTCCATTTATCGCACCGCCGTACTTCCACTTTTCGTATCTCCATCCCTTTCCTTTCCTTTCCTTTCCCATCCCTTTTGGAAACTACCCTTCTACCTCTTACTACCCTTTTCCTCCTTACTGAATTCGCCCACCGTGTCTGTGTGTTTCTATCCGGATTGGCCAATCGGACGTAAGGAAGCGATCACGAAGAATTCTCTCTCTCTCTCTCTCTCTCTCTCTCTCTCTCTCTCTCTATTTATCTATCTACTATCTATCTATCTATCTATCTCTTTTCTTATGTCGTCCTTTTGGTACACTCCATCGATAAAAATATAAAAACGAATCGAATCTTGCGAAAGCTTTCGCATTCTTTACGATTTAGGATCGGCTACTTTAAAAGTAAATTGATGTCCTTCGATTTAATCGATATTAGGAATAAATCTAGTCAAATTTAGTTGCATATGGATGGATTTATTCGAGTTAGATATATAAATTAAAGAGTAATATACGAAGAAATAACGATTCGATCGTTTAATTCGATTTGATTGTAAAAATCTATTAAGGTCTTTATTAGAATTTCGTCTCTCTCTCTCTCTCTCTCTTTCTCTCTCTCTCTCTTTCTCTTCGTCTCTTTCTCTTTTTTCGAATCAACGAGAAAGACAAAGTACATGTCGATAATCTAATTCACGATATTCCGTCTTTTCAGTCAAATATACTCCTTCGACACGATTTGATATCGCGACAGAAATTCTTCAACTACTTTACGACAAATAAATTCATGTTTCAGACTCGAGATAGAACGAACTTGATCGCGCACTCCTTATATACAATATATAACATTTGTGTATATATATATATATGTATATATACTTATCTACCTATGTACCTAACATCGCCCAGATGCATCTTTCATCGAGTCGAGAATGATACGTGATATAGATAAATATTTCCATATCACGGTCGAGGCCTCCATCAATCAGAAAATATACGTTACTGGTAAAGAAAAGAAGAGTATTTTTTTTCCCGTTTCGATAAACGGAATGCTTTCGAGTCGGCGCGGATCCAAAGATCGATGGCTTGAGGCCAAATATTTTGAGGGGAGGGTAAGTTTGAACAGGACGATTAACACAGAGAGAAACGATTTAATTCGTTGCCGAGTTTCGCTATCTTGATAAAACGTAATAACGAAGTAAAGAGAACCGTGTCGGACGTCGGGAAAAAAAAAATAAACATCCCTACGTGTATTTTTTTTTCTATCTGTATCTTTCTTTGTCTGTCTATATATATATATATATATCTTTCCCTCATACACATTGGCTGATGAGATATGACACGTAGCCGTCAGTCGTACGAAACATTGACCCGTTCTACTTAACGTAGATATTTTATCGTCAGATAGTTAAGTAGTCTGACAACGCGTGGTGAGATACGCTCGAACAAAATACGATCCTATTGGTAAACGTTCAAAACGAATTGTAACTGTTTCCTCTTTTTCTCTTTTTTTATTTGTTCGTTTTCTTTTTTTTTTCTTCTTCTTTTAATTCCTTTTTTTCTATCTCGTAGCTGGTGCATTAATAATAGTGTAAAAATAATTTGCATTTGCCAAAAAAAAAAAAAAGAAAAAGAAAATAAAAAATTTCTCTCAACGCGGATGAATCGAGGTGGAATGAAAAAGAAAGGAAAACAGAGGAAAAAAGGAAAAAAGAAAAAAGGGGGAAATTATGCTTGGAAATGCTTTGCGGAGAGAGAGAGAAACGGTCTGGCTAACGTTTGGATAACGCGGGGGTAACGAAGAAGAAGTTTCACGGTTGGCATGCCTGCTCTGACAGTGACGTCTCTGCTGACGACGGCGCCGACGCTGTTCGCGGCTGAGCACTTATAAATGGCCCAATGGACGTCCTGTCGGAAAGCTTCGGCCTCGAATCCCGGAAAGTGAATCGTCCCATTCCCAAGGACGTGTCGGATGCCTGGTATGTTCGTTATACTGCCTCCATCCGCGGCCAACCAATCCACAGTAGGTGCTGGATTCCCTCTGACAGTGCAGTCCACTCTACCACCGTTCACATTAGTGAACTCGACGCGAGATGGTGGTTCCGACACAAAACTCGGTCCTTGCATCTCGTATGAGGCGTTACAACCTGCAACAAACAAAACGGAACAAGATTAGAACATAATATCGTGAAATTCGAATCACTAATACATTTGAGAAATAAATATAAAGACATTTAGAAAGCATTATGATATTATTATTATTATTATTATTATTATTATTATATCAATTTTAATATCTATAAATTTTAATTGAAAAAAGAAAAAAAGAAATAAAAGGAATAATCAAAATAATCAATTTAATAAATGTATTTTCGATCGATTATAATACCAGTGCCGATCGATCATCCAGACAAGAATCTCAATGCTTTACAATCCGATTCGATTCTACACTGAATTCCTTGAATATTTCGACGATAATCCACATTCTACCACTTTCCCAACAAGCCCATCAACCGGCAACCCCATAAACGTATTTATCGCGCAACGGTAGGAACATAACGAGCCAGAAAACGGTTTTATCACTTAGCCTGTATCCATTCATTAGCGATGGCCACAGTCTCACCCCACTCCCCCCTCATACTCCCACGGTACTCCCGAAGGAACGTGATTAAAAAATTTAAAAAGCGTATTTAAGCGACCCAACGAGTCAGCAAGAGCAGTGGCAACATCACGTTAAATTTTTTTCGTCCCTAGGTCCCGAGTAATTTTCAAGTAATTTTCTAGAACGCCGCCGTTCTACAGCCATGGACTGTATCGTACCGACACGGGACGTGAACGAAGATAATACGGGTGGCCATAAATCACACATTTAACGCTGAAATTCGCCGGTAATAGGTTCCATAAATGGAGCGCATTGCGTTTCGCCCTTCCTTCCTCTTCGATCCCCACTAGCTAAACTCTACACCTTTCTCCATCCCTGTGTCCGCTATCAGCGAATCCTGTTAACCATTCATCACCCGAGTTATGTTGATTTAAGTAGGAATGCCAGGCCACTCGGATGTATTCGGCATTCCAGCTAGCATTATCCATCTGGCCTGGTCTGGCTTCGTCTAGACTGGTTGGCTAGCCTGACTGGCCTGTTTTGGTCTGGCCTAACCTGGTCTGGTCTGGTCTGGTCTGGTCTGGTCTGGTTTGACTTTGCCTATCTTCGCCGAACGAATTACAGAGAATGCAGCATCGAGAACGTGCGACGAATTGCTAACAGGACAATTTCAATGAGTATAACTCAAACCAATATTACATTGTATTCGTTAACGTTTCTAGAAACGTTCAGAAACGTTAACCAAGGAAGCGACATCGATGAATTATCGATAAACGATTACCTTCCACTCCCACTATTACTCCTACTCCACCTCTATCTCCTCCTCCTCCTCCTCCTCCTCCTTCTCGGCTCTTCTACTAACTCTCCTCATCCCTAAGCAATGTGACGGATGATATTGAAAATTTAATCGGCCGGATAGATGCGAGTTTGTAGAAGACGAGGGGTGGGAGGGGGAGGATGGGAGGACCATCGACACCGAAAAAGGTGAGTTAATATGCAAAGCAATAACCTACCTCTTACACCACCACCACCATCATCAACATCAACCATATGATGCTATTTAAATTTTCCCAGATAAAATATATTAAACTTTATACTTTCGCGTTTAACAAGGAAAAATTATATACTCGAACTAAATTATTCCCTTTTACAATAATATAAATAATGTTCGATTTAAGAAGGAATAAAAAAAAAATTTCTCATATCTCGCAAAAACATTTCGTTTCTCTTATATTCGTCAGATATATTCGTCAGATTGTAAAACTAGTTGGAAAATACTATCTTTGATATTTTTCTACATTCATTATACATATATATGTATAACCTACCTATCTCTACGGTATTGCGTTTATGCTTAGAAGTGGTTTACGAGCAACTGTCAACGCGTATACATGCCATACCCTGTTGAAACATAGCTTTCAACGTGCTACGCATCGTCGTATTACAGCGCACTATGTTATATTAAATTCGTGAGGGCTGTATTCTACCTAATCTTTAAAGTGATTGTTTTCTCCAAGGAGAAAAGCAACCGGGATCTTAACGTCGTTGCGACAACGACGACGACGACGACGACAACAACGACGGCAAGGTATCCTCGTTCTGTCATTCTTCTCTCGTGAGACTTCACAAAGTCCGAGCTCTCTCTCTCTCTCTCTCTCTCTCTCTCTCTTTCTTTGTCTTTTCTTTTCTTTTTACTTCCCTTTTTTTTTCTCTCTAAACTTTTTTCACTCGACTATACCTTATGACCTACATCTTCCGATCTCCGTAATAATTTCTTAGCGAGGAGAAAACAAATGGTATACAAGTAAAAAATTGAATTTGTTGTTTCCCTCGAAACGATGAGAAGAATAAAGAAAGATAAGAGAAGTCTGTTTTTCTTTGTGGCATAAAAGTAATTTCATCTAAACGCAAAGTCGGACGTGCGCCATCTTCGCATTTGACGCATTACCTCTCTCTCTCTCTCTCTCTCTCTCTCTCTTTCTTTCTCTTTCCTTCGAGCTTTTCATACTGCTCTTTTCTAACACGGTTTATCGAGCAAATAGAAATGAATATTAATTTATCCTGTTTGCGGCGATTTAACTTGAAACTGTTCTTTGCTCAAAGACTTGAAGAAAATGGATTTGAAAAAAACAAAAAAAAAACAAAACAAAACAAAAAGGAGCACAAAAAACTTGCTTTTCTTTGAAATCTTCCTAAAAAAGAAAAAGAAAAAAAAAAAGAAAAAAAAAAAGGAAAAGGGAAAAAATAAAGAAGAATAAAAAGGAGATAAGGAAGAAAGAAATCTTAGAAAATGTCGGAAGGTGATTGGATAAGAAAATTGGACGGAGGAAATGTTCGACGGATTGAAAAATCAAAAGTCGAAGAGGGAAAAGAATATGAATGGAATAAGAAAAGGATAGAGAAAAAAGAAAAAAGGAAGAAAAAGAAAAACGAAAGTGCATCATCGCGTGCGTGGCTCTAGCGAGCGTGCACGCTCGGTTTGCGAAAGGAAGTGCTTGTATTCTCTGATATAATGGCTCGCTCGAGTGCATTTGAAATGCACTGGCTCATCGGAATAGCTAAACAATAGAAGCCACTGAGGAGAAGGGAAGAAGGGAGACCAAGGGGAATTCAGACGTAGACCTGGCAGCTACTCGAGATATCTCTTTCTCTCTCTCTCTCTCTCTCTCTCTCACCCTCTCTTTTCTCTTCTCTTCTCTTTAGACGCACTTGCTGATATAGAAAGAGAAGAGAAGAGAGGAGGAAGATGCAAAAGAGACGTGACGATGGGTTACGCACGGTACAACGTGTTTGTACGTTTCCTGCAGCGTGCGCACGATACGTCGAGTAGAGACTAACTTTAGTCAACCCTCGACGTCATCGCAAGAGCTTCTGAGGCTGCACACTTCTGTTTTCTCTGTCGTGTAGGCTCGTTCAAGAGACCGAGACAACCGGCCGACGACCATCTGCGTAACGCTTTACGTCAACATCCTTCAGTTCTCTCATTCTTTCTCTCTCTCTTTCTCTCTCTCTCTCTCTCTTTCTCTCTTTCTTTTTCCTCTCTTCTATTCTTTACCCTGTCCGTTCCTTAAGCGTCCTCGAGAACATTACAGATCTCCCCTTTTCGTGATCATCCACGTGAGCTTGTCCACAGTCCCACGAAAAGGGTCCCCATGAGGAGTTCATCTCTTCCAATTAATCGCTCGATATACCAAACGTGATGTTGTTTTCTAAGACGATGTTCGAGACCTTTTCTAAAAAAAAAACAAAAAAAAAAAATAAATAAAAAAGAAAAACAAAAGAAAATAAATAAATAAATAGAAAACAAAAAAAAAGGAAAAAAAAATCAAATATAGGATAATCAAGTCTACTTTCGTTAACACATCTTTTTTTTTATATCTTCTCTCTAACTCTCCCGCTCTCTCTCTCTCTCTCTCTCTCTCTCTCTCTCTTTTTCTTTTCTTCTTCTTTTGTCTTCTTTTTCTTTTTTTAATTAAAAAAAAAAAAGGAACAGATAAATATAACGTTCACATCGATTTACCTTCCCTGCCATTTCTTCTATTGTTTTGCCGAGAGACAAGTACGTATAAACGTAACATCTCAGTACAAAAATTGTTGCACCGTTGCTGCTCCATTCGGAGCTACGTGATAAAACTGCAGCTCCGTGAAATTACCGTCGCTCGCCGTAAAGCACGGACGTTTTCAGAAGAAACTTCCTTTGTTAGATTTGCTTACACTATCACGATTCTCTCTCTCTCTCTCTCTCTCTCTCTCTCTCTCTCTCTTTCATTCTTTCTCTGTCTATCCTTATTTTACTTGTTCTCTCTCTCTCTCTCTCTCTCTCTCTCTCTCTTTCTCTTTCTACGTCTTTTCAACTTTCCTCAATGAAATTTACTAGACAAACAAAATACGATATAATAATACAAATGATTCATTTTCATTAAAAAACTTATTAACAAATGAGAATATTATTAAATCATTTAGAAAATGATAAAATACTTGACGATAACGATATAGTACGTAATAATTGAACGAGAAGGAAACAAATCAGATTCGCATGTAAAACAATCGTCGAGAAGAAAAATAAAGTAAAAATAGAAAAAGAAGAACGTAACAGAGGAAAAGAAAGAAAGAAAGAAAAAAAAAAAAAAGAGCAAAAACAAAAAAAAAAGAAACAAGAAAATCCTTAGGAAATCTACCATTACATTCTAATTACCGTTTAGCGCAACGAGAGAGTATCGAGAGTCTGCTGTGGTCGTTGGAAAAGTACCGGCAATCCGGCCGCTCGATTCGCGCTTATTAAAGCGAAGCGCGAAAAAAAGCAATCTCTTTGACTAATTGCCGACGAGTATGCCCGTATATAGAAAGAGAAAGAAAGAGAGAGAGAGAGAGAGAGAGAGAGAGAGACGCGGCGAACACAGACACGAAGAGTAGTAGAGTTAGCGAGCGAATGCATGCCGATGTACATGCACATTGTGAAAAAAAGAAAAAAACAGAACAAAAAAAAAAAAAAAATAAAAAAGAAGAAAAAAATGCGAAAGAGAAAGAGAGAAGGGAAGAGAAACG